CCTTCACCGTCTGTCACGAACTTCAGCAGTTCACTTTTAAGGATCGTGACATTTCCATACCTGTAATTCAGGAATTAGTTGTGGATGCGGTGTTGTAGCGTATTGCTTACATTATTCTTGCGGATGAGAAGAATTTCTTGACGTCGATGACAATCGTATCGTCGTTGTCGCTCATTCTCTGAAATCATTTGTTCGTCTCATTATTCTCATTATGTTAAAACAAAGGAAGCAAGAAGTGGGGAAGTGTATTCTAGTGTCTTGAACACCTCTACTTCAGATTTCCACTGCTATGCGTAAACCTTTATTTTCCGTTATTACAATGGTACTATGGTTTCATTGTGTTTTCATTTCTTCACGTTTTCATCTAGCAGCTGCATCATTTCGTTTCTCGCAAAGTGCAGGTGTCCATTCCTGAAACTTGTGTTCATGGTAATGATACTGGTTAGCTTGAGCGATCAAACTCACTTTGCTTTTACTATTTCAAAGAACCGTTCTGGTTCCACTTCTATCTCTTCATCATACTTGATCTTCCTCATCGTGCCGTGGTGTTCTAGGAGGTTTATGAGTTCGTCCTTCGCGAACTCAACTTTGCCTTGTTTTATCGTCAGGACACTGAAGAAGCAGTCAGCATTTATTTCAACAATTTCTGTGTCGCGTTCGTGTTCAATCTCCACCTCGGCCATTCCTGAAAAAGAGGGAAAGAAAGGAGAGAGGTTGAAACGTATAGGCATGAGAGGATAAATAGAGTATTATAGCGTAGGTACGCCACTACACAGAAATATTAACACCGTTTTAATCTCCACTTTTATTGTGTCATTTTTATTTGTGTTTTTTTCATCACGTCATTTATCTATTCACTGCTACCGTCTTCTTGCCCTCTTCTGGGCTTCCTTAGCTTCGTCTTTATTTTTGATTCTTCCTCCTTGATGCCTTTGTTCTTCTAGCAGTTGTATTCTATCTTCCAGTCTTTTCCAGCGGTCTGCACTGCTTTCTCCGGCTAGTTGAAGGAGTTCTGCTCTAGACTTTCTTAGTTGCCCATTTACAACATCACAGAACTGAAAGAATTTCTTGACGTCTATCTTAATGAGTTGGCCGTGGCCTTTCCTCTCACCAGCGGCAACCATCTGAAAGGAATCTGATGACTGACATCTGGAAAAAGAGAAACAAATTCTGTGTTCGAGGTACGTTAGCGCTATTACGCTTCATATTTACAGTGAGCGATGAGTCAAATGTTTATTGCTTTCATATTTACAGGCATTCTTCTTGATTGATCTCTATCTTCTTGATTATTCTTCCTCTTTCGTTTTTCTTCTTGGTCTCTTTGGCTCGGGTTCTTCATCGGACGTTTCGGGTTCTTGGTTCACGCCTTTACCTTCTAGTGCGAGTAGGCGCTTTTCCATTTTTTCCCTCCATTCGACCTCACCATCTGTCACGAACTTCAGCAGTTCGCTCTTAAGAATCGTGACATTTCCATACCTGTAATTCA